CCGTGCTTGAGGCTCTGTGCCCGTTTCCCCCAAAATAAGGCCAGGTCTTATATTAATTTTTGCTCCAAAAGACGCACTAGGGCTTATTTTCAGGTGGTGTCTTGTTTTTTCATGCACAACAATCTACATTTATTCAAATACAGTCATGTCATCTTCTTGTGGAACATCGTCATAGCTCTCCAAACCCCAAATTGTGCTGCAACGGATGTACTGAATGTGTCCGTCTGGCTGACGATCTTAACTGGGGCTTATTTTGGGGGTAGGACTTATATTACGAGCAACGTGAAAAGTCATGCTAGGCCTTCTTTTCTGGTTAGGTCTTATTTCTGGCGAAACAGGGCAAAACTTCACACTCCTTCAGTGGAGGCTGATGCCTGCAATATCGGCAGGGTGATGGATCCAGCTTTTAGTCTGAACTTCCAAGGAGCTCTCTGTGAGTGCAGAAACTGGACTCGGCACCATGGAGAGCACCTTTACCGGTCAGGCTGGTGCCTGGTGTGGATGCTTCTTCCCCACCTCCCCCTGTTGACTTTGGCACCAAAAAAATGCTGCTTCTTAGAACAGGAATGCCCAACTTCTGTAAGGAAGCCTGGAGCCTCGACGCCTCTTTTGCCCCGGAGATGGAGCCCGGGGCAAAAAAGGGGGCTGGCTGCCTGGGAAATGCCACACTGCTGAGTAGGAAGGGCTTCGCAGGGGTGGGTGGGACGCATGTGCTGCTGCCTGAGCATGACCCCCCTCCCCCCGCAAAATCCAAAAGGAAGCGGGAAGCCAAGGGCCGGCCACTCTTTCGCCCAGGACAATCTTTTATATTGTTATTTATTTTATATTGTTATTTTTGTATTTTATTTTATGTCGTGAGCCGCCCCGAGGCTTCGGCGAATGGGGCGGCATAGAAATGTTTTAATAAATAATAAATAAATAAACCTTCCGCTCAGGATTCTGGGGGTCAGGAGACTAAAGGTGCCCCCGCACTGCCACACACAAAGTTTCTGCAGCACGAACGCTCTCCTGGCCAGCCAGAGACCCCTGCTTGTTCCGCCCCATGCCGAGGCAGCGTTCCCTGGAGGAAGGGCCATGCTTCTCATGGGGCCTTCCGAGGCTGAAATGCCCGAAAACGGCACCGGAAGGGGAGTCCCGAAACAGGTCAGCAAAGACTGAGCATGCTGGGGGGCGGGGGTGAAAAGCTGATCGGCTGCTGGGTGGGGGAGTGTGGGCGTCAGGAAGCATGAAAAGGCATCTTGTGGTTCCTTGCAGGGCCTGCTAGACTCGGAGTGCAGGGCTTCCCGTTTCCTTCCGAGACTCAGGGCTTCTCTTCTCTTGCCCTTTGCACAAAGTTTTTTCCCCAGGAGTTGTCTGCCTCTCTCCCTGCCCCGTTGCACAACCACAAGGAGGCGCTACAAATAGGCCCCGGGGCTTTCAGAGGGAATCAGGGCAGCATCCCATGCAATGCCACTCTTTCTTATTCTAAAAAAAAGCTATGGAAATGGCCGGAATGCTCCGGAGACCCCGGAGGACGAGGCTGTGCAAAGGCCGTGCACAGCTGTGCATGAGGCATCACAAGCGTGCAAAGAGAAGCGTGTCCCGAGTCCGGCATGTCCTGGCCAGGGGAAGCAGCGCTCTCCTTCCACCTACCTGCCCCCCCCCCCCACCCCCAGAGCAGACTGGCCCAGCAGCTCTAGCCCAGCTTATCTGGAGGGCACCAGGTTGTGGAAAGCTGCCTGCAAGAGCAAGGAGCCCCGGGGCCACGACATCTCAGTGGGGCCCTTTCTGCTGCTTCTGCATCTTCTCCGCTTCTAGTTCTGCCCCGCCTGGCAGAAGCATCCTGGAGAAGCTGAACTGGCACACCCAGCTGGCATCTTGGATAGTCTCGAGGAAAAGGCTCCCCGGGTGCGGGTGCGGGGAAAACGGGGCCATCCACAGGACACGCAGTGCCAAGCCCAAGTTCTGTGGGTCCTGCAGACGCCCCCAGGAGCTGCCCTGCTCACCACCAGCCCCAGGTGCTCCTTCTTCTCACAACCACCATAATCCGGGCTGCAGCGCGAAGAGACCCCTTGCAGTGGGGCAGGGAAGGAGCAGCTCCAGTGGCTGCTGCCAGTGGGGCCCTGCTGGGGCGTGGGTCCTCGCATGCATGTACCACCTGTTGACACCGGCCCTGAGAGATTAGGAGAGTCTGCCCGCCCCACACCTGTGTACCTGGATCTAGTATTTGCAGAGAACCGGAGCATGTCCTGCTGAAGTTATGCTGGCAGGCAATGCGCAGCAGGCCTGAGCATGGAGCGTGGAGGAGGACAAGCGGCATTCTCGCCTCCTCCCACCCCACCACCATCCCTTGATCTTCACAGGGATGGCTGGCTCCTTTTCCCGCAGGGCTCGCCTTTAGACCTGCATCTTCCGGGGCAAAACCTGGATCAGCAGAGCTTTCCTGATAATTTCCCTTCCATGGCAGAGAAGACCGAGCCTGCCGCATGTGCTGGGGGGCCTGTCCCGCAGCTGGCGACGCCACCGGGAAAGCAGGAGCTGCAGCTGACCAGAAAGAATGCGCATTCTCCCGCGCACATGCAAAGCCATTCCAAGGAAAAAGCCCGTAACTGGAATGGGTCTGCCCACTTCTCTGAGCAGTGCCAATTCCCAGGGACTGCTGTGCTTTTTATTTCCTCTGACGGGGAGTGTGTTGGATCTCTTCGGATAATTTTGTCCTGTTTTCTTTATTTTTGATTGCACAAGCAAAGCATCTGTGTGCTCGAGCAAAGCAGAAGATGCCCTGGCAGGCAACCTGGGCAGCCCTCCAAGCCAGCAGCTCCAGGCCCAGGGAACGCTGGCGAGGCTCTCTCCGCGCCCTTGCGCTGGCTCTCTCGCGCTCCCTCCCTCCCTCTCGTTTGGTGTCATTCCGTGCTGCTCTCAGCCTTTCTGCAGAAGCCAGTTGTGCTCCTCATGCATCTTTCTTCCTTTGGTTTGATGAAGTGCCGTTTTGGGTTGGCTTAATCTCGCCTGTTTTAATTATTGTACTATTGTAAGACTATATTTTATTTTAAATCATTGTAAGTCGTCCTGAGCCGTTCATCAGAAAGGATGGGATATAAATCTTTTATTAAATTAAAATTAAGTTAAATCTGCCCTCTGTCCTCAGCCAGAGAAGAACCTGCTTCTCCCAGCTCAGCTGGAGATCTCATTCATAAACACGGAGAGATTCCCAGCCATCAGAAGACATCCCCTAAGCACTATCCCTCCCCTCGAGGAAAATCAACTGACAAACCTAGACCAGGAACTGGAGAAAGGAGTGGTCAGCCAGCGGCCAGGATGGAGCCGAGGGACAGAGGCACTCCAGTGCTGGCATCATCCTGTGGGAGGTCATGTGAGCACACGCCAGCACCCAAGGCACGGAGAGGGTCGGGGACGAGATGATTTTGCAAAGAGCTGGTGGCTGTAAAGTGCACAAGCTCCAGATTTGGCAAATGTGGCCGCAAACACAGGGACTGTGCAAGAGACAATCCTGTGGACCCACATTTCAAGTCATAGAATCATAGTTGGGTTGGAAGGGGCCAGAAGGCCGTTGGGCGTCCGCCCCCCCCCCCCCCCGCTGTTGCTGGTCACCACGTCACACCATCCCACTCAGAGGGCTGCCCAGTTTCTTCCTGAAGGTCCCCAGTGTGGGAGAGCCCCCCACCTCTCCAGGCAGCTGGTCCCACTGTTGTGTTGTTCTGACAGTGAGGAAGCTTTTCCCGATGTCCAGCCTGAACCTGGGTTGTCGCAACTTGGACTGATTATTCCCCGTCCTGCACTCTGGCGCCAGCGAGAGGAGATCCTGCCCTTCCTCTTTGTGGCAGCCTTGGAGGTATTTTTAGAGGGATACCATGTCCCCCCTCAGTCTTCCCTTCTCAAGGCTGAACATGCCCAGTTCTCTCCATCCCTCCCCACAGGGCAGTGTCTCCAAACCCTGCATCATTTCTGTTGCCCTCCGCTGGACCCTTTCTAATTTAGCTGCATCTTCCTTAAATCTTGGTGCCCAGAACTGGACATGGTATTCCAGCTGAGGTCTGACTAGCGAGGAGTATAGGGAACTACTACTTCTTAAGATTTGGAAATAATACTTCTGTTAACACATCCCAAAATAGCATGTGCCCTTTTGGCGGCTGCATCGCACTGTTGGCTCGTGTTTACCCTGTTGTCCACAATGACTCCGAGGTCTTTTTCTTTTTTGGCTCTGCTGAGCCACATGTTCCCCATCTTGTATCGATGCCTTTGGTTTCTTATTCCTAAGTGGAGGACTTGGCACTTGTCCTTGTTGAATCTCATTCTGCTGCTTTCAGCCCAGTGTTCAAGTTTATCAAGATCGCCCTGAATCTTCATTCTGTCTTCTAGGGTGTTTGATATTCCACCCAGTTTTGTATCATCTGCAGATCTGATTATCTTTCCTTGTACTTCCTCCTCCAAATCATTAATAAGATGCTGAAGAGCACTGGGCCCAGGAATGAACCCTGCTGCACCCCACTGGTTACCTCCATCCAATCTGGTGCCCTTGATGAGCGCTCTTTGTGTCCGATTTAGCAGCAAATTTTGGATCCACCTAATAGTTTTTCCCACTAGCCCAGTTTTTGCTAATTCGCGTATCAGAATATTGTGTAGCACTATGTCAAAAGTCTGCATTCTCTCACCGTGCCTTCCTGCTTATCTAATCTAGGGATCCCAGGTCCCCAAAGCTCAGAAAGCAGAGCCTGAGAAGTTCGGGGAGGTGTTTCCCAGATCAGAGAGGCACCTGGTGGAGCCGGAAGCAGTCAGTGCCCGGCTGAGTCCCATATCTCAAGGATGGACATCATAAACCCAAAGTTCCTCACCCATCCAAGGATGATAGAACCTAGATCTCTTTGGGCTCCATCCCCTCCTCCCCAGAGATGCAGGGAAGAAGGTTAAAGCATGGGAGCAGGAGGTCCGTCCTCCGGGACAGGTCGCCCGTTCAACCTGCCAGCGCAAGCGTCCCCGATGTGAACACAGGCCCACGAGGCTCATCGCTGTGAGACACGTCCCCAGAAGTTGCACAAGAAGCTCTGGCAGCAGGAGGTCGTGTAAGACGCCATGCCCAGGTGCATGTCCCACTCCGGGCAGGTCGGGGAACACTGCTTGGTGATCCGCTTTCCCAGGGTCAGCAGGCCTGAGGAGCGAGAGGAGAAACCGGGGGAAGGGGAGAATGAGTGTGTGTTCGCAGGAGGGCAGGCGAGGAGGGCGCCAGGCCTCGCTGGGGCCACTGCTCACCCCTGGCGAGCACCCCTGCGTGGCCCTCCCACCTGCCCTTCCATGCACACCCGCAGGCTCGCCCCCTCAGAGCTGTGCTGCTCACGCTGCCGCAGAAAAAGCCTTCGCAGCACACGCACCCGCCCCGCAACTCCCTGTCGCGCGTCCTCCTTTCTCCTGCCCATGTTTGCGCAGACTAGTTTCGGGGTGCCCTGCAGACACCTTGGACTACATGGCCATGCTGGCTGGGGATGATGAGATTTGCAGTCCAACACATCTGGGAGACAGCAGGTTAGCGAAGGCTGCATAGAGACACCAAATCGCTACAATATTAATCAGCCGGTGCCCCTTTTCTCTATTAGCCGTAATTCCCCTAAACTTCTGTTTTCGAGCTTTCATGAACCAGCCACATGGTGGATTTCAGCTTGTTTAATCAACTGCCTCACTTCTCCTGGGTTCTCAGTTCTCCATAAGCAGTCCTTTCTTTTTCTTTTAAAACCCTTGCCAGAACTATCTATCTATTTATTTTTAAAACTTTTCTATACAGTCCCATCACAAACGTCTCGGGACAGTGTACAACAATACTGATAAAGTAGAATAAAAATTAAAATAAGAGTAAAAAAAATCACAGCATTCAGTATTCGGTGTAAAACCACAGATTAAAACAATTTAACAATTAACATATTGAGAGAATAAAAGGGTTTTCACCTGATGCCAAAAGGAAAGGAGCGTTGGCACCAGGCGAACCTCTCTGGGGAGCGTATTCCACAGTCAGGGTGCCACCACAGAGAAGGCCCTGCTCCGGGAACTCTCCCTCCTGATCTCTTTCAAGGAGGGCTCCCAGAGCGGGGCCTCTGCCTTAGATCTCAAGGGGCACATAGGGGAGAAGGCGCTCCTTCAGGTATCCAGGACCCAAGCCATTTAGGGCTTTATCACCAGCACCGTAAACTAACACCCTCCTCGTTCAGATGGGAGCTGCTACAGAGTTGGTCGGGATCCGTCTGGTGCCAGCACATTCGAGTCGCAACCTGCCCTTGGCATACGTACCTACTGCCAAAGACGCGACGGAGGTCACACAGTACTTGTCATTTTCAGAGCATTTGGCCACTGTTTTCAGGCAGTCCCAGTTGCTGGCTCGTCTTTCACATGTGAAGCACACCAGTGCATGTACTGCAAAAAGAGAAGACAAGAACTGCATCCGAGGGCTGAAAAATAAATATTTGCAAACATTTCCAGGATGGCCATTTGGAATTTCTATTGTTTCTCATTTCAGAGCAAAACCCAGATTCTGAACGTAAAATATTACCTCAACATGTGAAATGGTAGTGTTTTAAACTCCTTGGAAATACTGCTTGCTTGGGTTCCTGCCAACACACTGTTACTGACCTTTCCCTTCTCTTCTGCTGCCAAAGTTTCTGATCGCAATCTCCCCTGGCAGGGCCTTCCCATTGCTTTTGCTCACATTCTTCCACAAAGCACCACAGACATGGATGAGTGAATATAACAAAGAATATACTATTCTTTGGGTAGGGAATATAATATTTCAGATCAACTTTGCTGCACTCTCTCAAGATAAATCTTTGTGGCATTTGAAGTTGAGCTTGTCCTCTAAATTTAAATTGAAAAAGCATGTGCATTGTCCATTTCAAGTATTCAAGGTACGTCACATTTATTTTCCTAGCTAATCTGGCAACACCTCTGAAAAGCAGGACAACACTAGCGTTACCAATGGAGAGTTGCAGGCAACCCAAGGGCACCTACAAAGTCTGCCACCGAAGATAAAATTAGAATGTGATCCTTTAAAGAAAGACGAAACTTCTTTAAAGTGTGAGACTTGGTAACAAGGAAGCTGAAAGGGGGAGTCAAGAAGCTTAAGTCCCTTCAAAATGCTTGGGGGTTACTCACAAACCCCATAACAGATGCTCAGCTTGAATGAAGCCGCAGGTTAGAAAAGGTGGCACCAAGTTGAAGAAGACACCAGTTAATTAAGTGTCAAGGAAGCTATTAGAGAGAAGTCCTTCATCAGGAAATGGAAGTCTTCCTCATTCATCAGGAAATGAGGAAAGCAGCAGGGAGCACAAGCTCCTGGAGGATATGCGAGTAGATGATAGAGATGGGGGAAAACATGCTGAAGAGCATATCCCTAAGAAGATCGAGGCCTGCAGTACAGAATACTTTACATGTGCAGACATCACTTTGTAACTTTGGATGATAAGGGAGGACTAAGAGGGGAGAAGATGTAGGAATCCTGTTTAGCTGACCTCCCTGCAGAAGATACAGGACAGATAAATGTTCCTGAGCAGAAGTTTTCAGAAAGGGAGGCAGTGGGAGGAAAAGAGGAAGCTGTCAGCATTATTGACAAACTGGGAGTTAATGCATCATCAGGCCTAGGTGATAACCATCTTAAATGATCTCATATATAAAATTGCTGATCTTCCACCTGAAATAGGTAACATGTCCCTAAGATCAGCCTCTGCACCGAAGGACTGGAGAATGGCCAATAATACATCAAGTTTTTAAAAAGAATCCAAAGGGAATTGAAGCAATCTAAGCCTGGTTTGTTAATGATCTGTTCTGGGTGAAATGGATGCGAGTTCACACAATAAGCTGGACCTCCTCAACCCGCCAGCTCTCCGTATGCATTGAGTGAAGATGTCCTGCCTTTTCTTCTGTCCTGAAACCACCACCATCTAGTCTCATGGGATGATCCATGGGAGAGAGAGCCCAGAAATGCTCGCATACCCTCTGCGTTCCAGCTCCACTTTCCAACCAAGCAGGATCCACCTTGTCTTCCGGCTTTGGCTTCCCTGCCTCCTCCCACTCAGCCGACCTTAAGCTTTCTTCTGTCTCACAAAGTAGCACAAAAAGTCCTAGTGCCGGGACAGGCGAGTCCAGTTGCCTTCTCGGGGGATGGAGCCTGCGCCAACATGGCACTTCAAGTGAGCCGGCTCGAGGAAGGGGCACCGGCAGTCTTGTGCCCAATGGCCGAGGAACCGTCCCGGCAGTCCAGGTTCTCCACAGCCCCTGCCAGAAAGGCCAACCAGTTGCTCCTGGAAAGGGGAGCACAACTGCGTTGGGCAGAGCTGAAATAGGTAGCCTCTGCCCATGCCTGAAGCTGATGTGCTTAGCCAAATCCAGGCGCCCCTTCCGACCAGGATCTTGGACAAGAGGGACCGATGCTCTGAGCTAGTGGAACGGGGCAGGCCTACCTTGGTCGGGATCCAGGAGCATCACACACAGAAGGGCCACGAAGTAGGGCCTCATCTTCAGGTTTCCTTGGCGGGTCGAGCCACCCCAGTCCCGCAGGGCAGCCGATGAACCTGTGAGGTGTGCAGGCTGGAAGGGCTGCCTGACGCGGACACGCTGCAGAGCCCTGCTCTTATCCGGGGCTGGGAGCGTTTGCAGGTGGTGGAATGTGTGTGGGCAGCTTCCCGTGCCTTGCCCTCAGGATCTCCATGGAACGGCAGTGCTCGTGACCCGCTCTTGCTCCTTCCTGAAGCACTCCCTGCCCTGCCTCGCCTCCGCTCCATCCTCCAAGGCGCCTCCTCCTCCTCCAAAGAAGCCCCTGGGAAGCCATCTTGCAGCCCCGGTGCAGCCCCCAGCGGGGCCCAAAGCCCGCGGCTGTGCTGTGAGTAAAACCTGCTGCGATTGGGTGCCCCAACGAGCACCCCCAGATTCGTGGTTCGAGACTGAAAACGACCTCTGTGACAGCCATGTACATCTCGTGTCTTGTTGCAAGGCCCCAGTAAAGATGCTTGATGGCTCTTTGGAGGTCTAACCAGCCTTCCCCCATTCGGGCTCTCCAGATGTGCTGGACTACAATTCCCATGCTTCCCAGCCAGTATAGCCAGGAGCCCAGCTCCTGGAAAAGCAAGATATCTCTGAGTCCTGCACGATGGCATAACCTTTGAGGAACTCTGTCTTCTTCATGCCTCACTCGGAGGTCCTGGAGCAGAATCCTGGGTCTCATAGGAACATGGCAAGGTCCCAAAGCTTGGCCCAAGGTGGGGGAGGAACCTAAGCCCCCCCACCCTGCACTTTGCCTCGTCAAGAGTCCTCCTCATTTCCAGCTCCCAGCATTGCATACAGAAGATCACAGGCTGGATCCACAGCGTTCCCAGGCTGGACTAGGGAAGGATCCTCACCTGTCTGACCCAGCGGAGGGAAAGCTGCTGCTGCTGCTGCTGCCAGCTTGTGTTGGCCACACTGGGTGAGAGGGACCAAGCCTTGAGCCGGATGTGAGCAGCTTCCTGCGCCCCTCTGCCCAAAACCATTTGCCCATCAAGAAATTCACTGCACCCAAGTTCCCTGCCATCCATGACTTCAGCTTCCCCACCTCCCCAGGGAAAAACCTTTCTCCTGTAGAGGTAAGGAAGCAAAGGCACCCGCCTTCCACCGTGGCCCCAGGAAGAGGCATTTGGGGTGGTCCTGTTCCATCGAGGAGGGTCAAGCCGGGAGAAGGTCCTGCACTCGGCCGTCACCATCTTGCCTCAGGGGCTGAAGGACTCTCGTGTGTCTGTCAAGCCAAATCTACCCCAAATCTTGGGCGGGGCGGAAAAGCTGCAGGGCTGTGGCAATGCCAGACCACATGATCTTAATTGGGGCTCACAGGAGGCATGTGTTCTAGAGTTGCCACAACCCGGAAGAATTCTTGGATGACTAATTATGAGGTTTCGTCCATTAACAATGCGATCCCATGTACAGACCGAATGCCAAGAGGCGTGTTTCCGCCCCAAGCAATGCACAGGAGAGCCGTGCAGCTTCAAACAGGAGCAGAACCGGTTTTATGGGGAGCAGGGGGAGGGGATCCCTTGCTGGTTTTGAGCCCCGGGTGTAGGTCTCACCAGCGACAATACAGCAGCCCTTGAGCACAACCAGAGTGAAAAAACACCCTGTGAGGGTCTGCTGGGGATGCACAGAGAAACAGAGCGAGTCAGAAGGGGTCTCCCGGGCCACCTAGTCTGACCCCCGGCTCCAGCCGGCTCCACTCACGACATGCCCACCAGGTGCATGTCCAGCCTGTCCTTGAACACCCTCACTGATGGGGCCTCAACCACCTCCCGGGAAAGCCCCTTCCACACTCTCGGGGTCCTGACTGTCAGGAAGTGCTTCCTGGCATCCACCTTGAACCTGGGTTCCCTGAGCTTCGTTCCGTGTGCAATCTACCCAGCAGTACAGGAACCTCCTGCGATGTGCAGAAGCCCACCAAGGGGGCTACCAAGGTGGAGTCTGTACAAGAAGCTTTTATTACGCTGCAGGCACATACGCGGTTTGGAGTGGGGGTCCCACACCCAGGATGCTCGAGGCACATGAAGGTACAACAAAAGGGATTAAGACAAGACGAAGAGGAGAGCCTTCCGGGCAGGGAAGCCCTCAGCATCTCCAAGCGTCTCCCTCCAAAGGAAGACCTTTCCGGACACCCTATCTGCATTTCTAAGGTGTACATGGGAAGCAAGACTTGCAACATGGATTCCTGGTCAGACTGGGCGTCCCCTCTTAAACTGAAGCTCTGCCAGGCTTTTAGCAGACATATTATGGCAAAGCTGTTGCTCCTTTTGTCCTGACAAGAGCTTCTCCGACACAGAATTCTGTGCCTGGCAGCCCTGACTTAAAGGGTCAGTGACAACTCTGCGTCCGGAAGCTGCACGTGTCTGAACCCGGCCTGCCGATGGGCAAGCCAGGCCTGGGAGGGCAGAGCTGAGAGGAGTGTTCCTGCCCCAGGTCACGGGCTCTGAATCTCGGTGCTTTCTGCATGCATTTTGGAATGGAAGTGCTGTAAAATTGCCCTTGGTCTTTTTCCCCTGGAGGGTCTCAATTATCAGGGAAAAAGGGAGCAACATCCAGTAGAGACTTAAACCGTTTAATTTTGCATGCACAACAGGTCAGCAGCGTGGCTCACGCCCAAAAGCGGAGCTGCCAAAAAGCAAAGGTCGGGCATGGTCTTCAAGGTTACAGGTAGCCAGCCAGTCTCACTGCGCACGTCCACCTCCTCTCGGGTTTCAGATGGGCCGACCCTGCCCTCCCCCATCACAGCACCTTTGAAGTGCCACCAGCCAGTCTTGTGGCTGGGTGTGTTACTGGCACTTCTTTTTCTGAGAACTGCTTTCCGTGGTATTTGGCGTTCTGTCAGCTACTTCTCCCTGAGTGAGCTTGTGGTTGTGGATAGCTGGACTCTTCCTATAACTGCTTCCCCATAACGCTTGCAATTATGGCAAGTGCTCCTTTCCAGACTTCTAGGTGGCTTTCCCTCACCGTGTGTGCTCAACCACTGATCTCTAGTTTAGATGCACAGAGCTTAGAAGCACAGACTCATGTTGGGAAATTTCAGACAAATCCTGGTAGAAAAACATTGCTTATATGTGTCTCTGTGTTACAAAATCAAACCTGCACCCCTTTCTCAGAAGGCACCCCAGTTCCAAGCCAGGTCACTGTTTGGTGCTGCTGTTACTTTCAGAATCAGGAATTCTTAACTAGACTGAGAAGCTGCTGGAGGCTGACCCGATCAGGGAGGAAATACCGTGTTCTCATCAGCTGCAGGAAACTGAGACAAAGGTGCCCATCTGCTTCTGAATGGACCCCATTAATCATCTAGCCCCACAGAGGCGAGCCCCTGTGCCAAACCAGATTTCCGGGATGGTTCCTCCATCAGGCGCATTTGCATGTTTAAACAGACAGACCGGCTGACCTGAACTGTCCAGAATTTGCTAGACTGACCCATCAATACAGCAATCAGTGATGTTTTCTATACTATTGTTAAAAGTATTTCTGATCAGTTTAGAACTTTATATCATGCCTAAAGACAAGATAAGGGACTGCAGGTGGCATAGTGGTTTAAACCGCTGTGCTGCTGGGCTGGTTGATCGAAAGGTTGCCGGTTCGAATCTGCACAACAGAGTGAATTCCCATTGCTCCGTCCCAGCTCCTGCCCACCTTGCAGTTCGAAAGCATGCAAAGGCAAGTAGATGAAAAGGCGCCACTTCGGTGGGCAGGAAACAGCGTTCCGTGCACCTCGGTGTTTAGTCATGCCGGCCACACGACCAGGGAGACTGTCTGCGGACAAACGCCGGCTCCCTCAGCTAGGAAACAGAGAGGAGCACCGCCCCCTAGAGTCAGGCATGACAGGACTTCACGTCAAGGGGAAACCTTTACTTTTAAAGACAAGATGCTGTTGCACTAACATGATCTGCAAACACTCTGCACTGGTGTACGTGACTAGCAGGTTCTAAAAGTGTCGGTACACGGGCTGTGATTCTGTAGCTGAGTTTGCCTCTACCCGGGAATGCATTATCGTTAGTGACTGCAGGTCCTGGGCCACTGATCAATAAAGCCGCAGAGGTTCAAACATTTGAACTTTCCCACAGACCTGAGTGTTCATTTCCGTGCAAATTCAAAACCAAGATTCTGCCACCGAGAGCTGCTTTGGGCGGCCCCAGGGCTATTGCTAAGGCAAGCTGCCCTGAGGCCTTTGGGCCCGTGGCCGCTGGGTCACAGGAACAGACTTTGTATGGCTTTCTTGCAGCTGACAGCAAGCGAGCATCGTTCTAGAACGGGTGACCTTTCCTAACAGAAGGACCATTGAACAGAAATTCCAAGGAAGGCAGGACAACAGCCACACGGCACATTTTCTGCCTGCCGCCAGCCCGTCGTTGGTTTCAGCGTGGCGCTTAAGGGAGGGGTGGTTACCCGGCAATATGGGGGGCAAGGACTAAGCCAGACGGGAGTCCTGCCCCCTGAGCACAGCTGGGCCCCCTGCTGAAAGTCGGCACTTTGCATTCTGTTTTTAAGAGACAGAATTTGGTAGCAGGGCAGGGATGGGAACTGGGCTCATCGAGGTTACGCCCCAAAGTGACATTTTGAGCCTGAAGCCATGACTAAATCGTAAGGCAGCAAACACATGATACAATGAAGAACTTCAGGGGGTAGAAGACGTGTGGGTGAAAGTGATAATTAAACCAAGAGGATGTCAGTTTGCTTCCAGAATTAAGGAAACCGTATAATTAGGAAGCAGGGCGTTTCAGGGACTGCTTTTGAATTAAGGAGCATTATAATAATAATCTAATCTAATTTATACTCCGGAAACTTGGGCAGGTTCTTTGAAATAATGCTTATCCGATAAAAAATTGTAGGAAAAGCAAGATTTAGAAAACACACACACCAACCCGAAAGATGCTGCCATCTTATCAGCTCGATCTGCCTCCTGTGGGACCCCGGCGGCACGTTGGCTTCCAGCCGCTCTGAAGCTTCACTGCCGTTTAAAGCTCAGTGAGAGAACACACCCTTGGCCTGCTTCGAAGGCCCTCGGTTCAGCTGCTACACCCATCCTACTTGTCAGCTTCCCTGGGCAGCTGCTTCTCCACTGAACTAGGTGGACCCTTGGTCTGATCCAGTCCTGACGAAGGGGAGACAAGCTGCTCCCAACCCACAACCAGGCAGTCACTGGCAGAACCATGTGCAGGAACCGTGAACTCTTGAGCTCAGCCATCAGAACTGCCAAGAATCGTTTCAGCTGCGGCATGAATCTCCAGTTCCCAAGCCCATGTGCTGAATAGCAGGAGAGAAACAAACAACACAACCCTCAATGCATAAATATCCTTTTAATGTTTCAGGAACTATTAAACCTTGGAAATCAGCGAAAAAGCCCCCCTCCTGGCACCTTTTTTTAAGAAAACAAATTTAAAGAGGCGTTTGCTGATATGCTTGAACCTCGGCAGAGGGTAACCGTTCAAGGAAAATTACCCTCCCACAGCACTGAACAGAAATAGATATTGGTGCTGAAAAAACACAACACTTTCTAATAAAGGAACTGTAGGAACACCCATCATTTTGGATCATTTCCAACATAAATATATCTATGCACAATGGCATACCTTAGAATTGAAACAAATTTCAATTGTGCAATCATCGTTCATAAATTCCAGTTTATACTAAACATTTGGAAAGGCTGATTCCTCAGAGTCCAAGGTGCAAATGTTCTGCAATGGATACAGATATTCTCACTGTGAGAATATTCAGATTTCAAATGCGACTTTCACTGACACAACATTTTACATTTCATAAACCTGAAGCTGCCTGCCGATTCCTTCTTCCGAGTTTGAATTCAGCCATTTAGAAACAAAAGACAAATGCAGCGGGGTGCACTTTTTGTTCTAACCTGTTTGGAAACCAAAGAAAAGCAACTGTGTGGAAGGAGCGCCTCTTTTCTTCAGTATCAGCACAGATGTCCCCAAAGCAGAGACCTCTCTGGACAAAAATATTCATATTTTAATGAAGTGCTTTCCCAAGCAACTCAGTGCCAGACAAAAAGACACTCAAGAAGCGTGTTCCTTAACACTTGGACGTGACTAGATCAACAGAGGCACCAGTTTCAAAAGCTGGATGGATTAAGGACTGCATGTCACGTGTCTGGTGTAGGTGAGATTCCCCAGCGATGAGCACGTTGAATGGAAAGCAGTCCCTTTATACAGCACCACCCCCTTGCAGGACACGAGCACCCCAAGCGACAGCTCTCGGATGGCGCACGCATCCTTCCTCCCAGAACCACAGCATAACTTTTCGCAATCGAGTTCTCTTCTACATCCAATGCTCTGTTTTAGAATGGTACTTGCTGCCCTGGAGAGCTACCGAAATAAAGCTACCACGATTCCGGTACAAGTTGCCAAAATGTGCGACTCGCCAAGGGTCTACCCAGAGTATAACATCCCTGAGGCAAGCGAGGGATATTTTGAAAAGCACAACAAAAGGGGCTCATTTTATGGCAAGCGGCTGCAGCATCTTCCTTCCTGAACTGTCTAAAATCTGTATCCTTTCCTGCGCTCTGCTGCCATGGGAGGTGAACTGCACAGCCGTCCCCAAATGCTTTGGGCTTCAAGGAAAAGAGGACGCTTGAAAGGACTCGTCTCTGCTCCCCCTCTTTGCAGGAGGCGGCATTTCAGACACAGCCCCAGATCTCTGATCACGCGGCCTGGGGAAGCAAGGGCTGGGTGCAGAGCATCTCGGCTGGGAGAGCAGGAATTTGCCTTGGGAAAACCAAACCTTAGTCTGGACTGGAACGTAATGGCAGACCAAAAGGACCCTCCTCTTCTCAAGGAACTATTTCTGGCTAGTTCTGGTGCTCCTGCATTCACTCCTGCATATATATATATATATGTATATGTATATTTTTAACAGGAGGGCTATGTATCGTCTAACAAGCGGAGAACTGAGGTAGTGTAATTCCAGCCTGTCCACCCAGGACTACCCCAAATGACTGCAATACCAGAAACCCTTGCAAAATACAGACGGAAGAAAACTCTAGAAGTGCTTTCTGGCTGGGCTCTTACAGAGCCCTTCCCAGCCCATAAAGCAGGTCCAGAAGAGGCTCCTGAGGGGACATGGAGGGCTGAGGCCGGGAACACTTCCAGCCGGAACGGATCCTCCCTCTGCAAAGGCAGCTGCAGCTTTCTGAGAAAGCGGGAGTTATCTGCCGGAGCCCTTGTGACAGAACTCCACTTCCTGAGGTCCTCCGGAAGAGAACACCTGATAGCGAGAACCAGTTTGAAGCTCTGTGTGAGCACGATGAAAGAGACTGTTGCAGCCGCTCAGAGACCAGGGAGGGGCTCCCTCATCCGGAAACCGCACACCTGAATTCCACACGTCTTCCCTTTCGTACAAAGGATGAATCTATGCGCATCACGCCTTCCTTTAGAGATGTATTTTCCATGCAAAAAGGGGCCACGGTAAGGCACAGAAATGTCCACGGGCCACCAAACCAAGCAAAGAGTTGTCCAGATCCCCTCTCAGAATTCAAAATCTTCATCTGCCATTGCAATGGCCCAGGCAAACTTCTCTCTCTGGGTTTTGTTGTAGATCTTCTCAATGGGCACACCAAACCTTTTGCACCTGTGCGGGGAAAAGCACATCAGAAAGGGGGACTCAACTCTCAGGGCCAGAACGCACGCGTGAAGACGCCCGTGGGCCCGATCAAGCCCAGTGCCCAAAGCAGTCGCGCTGCCCCTCACTCACCAGGCCACGCTGATGCGGGGGTCCAGGTAGTTCAGCTTGGACGTGCCCAGAGCAATCTGCTTGTTTTCCTCCTTGTCCGTGGCTTGCATTTTCAGCCTCTCCAGCTGCTCTTCGAGCTTCTCTTTCACCTTCTTCTTCTTTTCCACTGCACTGCTTGGAAAAAAGAGACGACGCATTATTTTGATAACGCAACAGCACTGCAAGAAAACGCAAGCGGGCTATAAAGAAAGCGGGTGGCCCGCACGATCTGCTGAAAACACCAGTTCTGGTTATGCCTGTTTTTTTGGTTACGTCTAAGATGTTAGCTTAGGAAAAATAATGGCTGGAAGGACATAATCAGGACATATAATTCTTTATGCAGTATGAAGAAAGTACAGAAGGGAAAACTTATTGCAGGATGCTAGAATGCAGAGGTCTTCCATTGAAAGTAACTCATGGAAAATTTAGGCCAGACCAAAGAAAGAGCATCTTTCTAACATCTGATCAATTTCCAGAAGTTCTTTATGGACTACTAGCTTTGATAAGAATGGAAACGACACCCGCGTGCATGGCAAATAAATCTATCAATAGGTTTTAATCATGATCACTCCAGGATAATATAGGGCCAGCCCTAAAAACACATTTATTGCTCCAAGCCAATGTGATGACTTGAGTACTCACATATGGAAAAATCAAATAAATGTATTTAATTATTATTATTTATTTATTAAAGGTTTTTAAGAGACTGTTCTCTTCAGCACATGCTCTCAGAATGGTTTACGAATTTTTACAGAAATTAAAGCAACTCAACATAACTCTTCATATTCCTTTTGGTGCCCTTTCTTTCACCAGTATTTTAATTGTTAATCTGTTTTAATGACATTTTAAAAATGTGATATACCTTTTATGCAATTACTAGTTCTGTTAAGCTGGGCACGTTTTCATTATTTTACTGCTTTAAAGATGACTTGTGTTTTTATACTATGTTATATGGATTTACTCTTGCAACTTGCCCAGAGATCCATGTGGCTAATCAGGCAGGTTAGAAATTAAATAATAAAGAAATAATCTATCCATGAAATCCATAACCAAATAAAAAACAAAGGAATAACAACCATAATGAACAATGAAATAATAATACGTAAGATATTAAAGCAGAGCAACCAAGCATAATCTAGATAAAAACCAAAATAAAAGCATGAGCTCTAACCAACAATTAAAATAAAAAGCTTTTAGCCTGGCACTGAAATGTATAAAGTGTCAGTACAGACACAACCTCCCTGGGGGTCTGATTCCATAAACGGGGCGCCACCACTGAAAAGGCTCTTCCCCTCACAGAATTAGGGGTCTACATTCAAGTCCTGCGATGCCAGTAGGGAACTGAAGCAGTGGCGAACTGGGACCACTCACGCTTTAGACTTCACGTCCTTCCTGGTTTTGCGATCCGCCTTGGCCCTCTTGAGCTCCGCCTTGGCTTCAGTCAGCTGATCCTTTTTGGCACTGATCTGGAACGGTGCAAACCAGACAGGTCCGGATCAGGCTCTGCTCCCAGGCAAGCATGGATGCTCCCCTCTCAGAAAAAAGGCTAATGCGTCTTCTGGAAATGATGCGCGGAAGGTCTTAGCCCCCCAACACAAGCCTGAAAGTTTGTTCCTTCCGTTCCTCATTGCAACCTGACCCGCACCCACAAATGTGCCAGGAGCCGCAACAGAGGGGCTCTGCCCTTCCCATTTCCCCTGATCTTCCCCCGGCTGGGGGGATCCATCCCCCCACACAGGGACGTTGCAACGAGCAGCGGGTTTGGGCCAGGGCCGGCCGGACCAAGATGCCCCCTGCCGCCTTGCAGGCCTGCCCCTGGGGCTCGCCAAAGGCCCCCACGCCCCTCAGCCGCTCGCCTTCGCCTGGAGGTTCTGCATCGACTTCTCGAAGGTCTTCGGAGTGGCCCGCTGGTGGTTGCACAGGATGGCGACCGCGCGATTGGCCCGGTTGTAGGAGAGCAGCTTCGCGGCGATGCTGTCCTCTTCTGCGGACACAGAACGTGGAAGGTGAGGGGGCCGGTGACACGGCGCCAGATGTGGCCCCCGCCCATGCACGGCACGGATGCCGCAGCGCCAGAAACTAGTTCTGCGAGAGGCCACCTTGCCCCCGCCCTTTCTCGGGATGATTTTGCTGATCCTGAAGCACGACGAGTTCCACGGGGCAACTTCCAACAGATCCCTGCCGGCTACGTGCCAGCTCACCCTCCGCCCTGAACGGAGGCCGTGTGCTGAGGAAGGAACGGGCGCAGCAAAGGTCTGTGAAGAGCCCGTGGGGTGATTCAGCACCCGGCAGGGGGACTCAGGCGACCTGGACTGCAGCGCCCGCTCAGCCCTGGGGCCAAGTGGGCGACTTTGGGCCAGCCACAGACTCCCAGCCCAGCCTACCTCACAGGGGCGTTGTTGTGAGGATAAGACTGAGAGCCAGAGGAGCAGGATTGTGTGGTTGGTGTCATGGGCGTGTGTTCGGGCACGCACGAGAGGCTGGCCACTCTGGCGGGGCCAGCAGCTCAGCCTCTCAGAACGAGCTGAGCGAAGGGGGTTCCCGGCACGACTCGCAGCTCGGGCCCTGAGAATGAGAGGGCTGCTGCAACGGACCCGGCTCCAGCGGCATCCAAGGCTCCGTGCCCGCTAGGCCGGAGAGTCGCTCAAGGGCAGCCGCGGGCTCAGGCAACCCACTCGCGGGAACGAAGAACAGCAATGGCATCCTGATGCGGGGGGCCTAGAGATGGGAGTCTCTTGGATGGAGGCCTCCAGCCTCCTGAGGAGGTGGGCTCGGTAGTCCATCCTGACATTTGGAGGGAGAAGCCCAGGTGTCCCCTCCACAGGGGCAGGCACAGAAAGGTTCATAAGCAAACCGTTGGGGGAGGGGGGCCAGAGAGGGTTCAACCTTTCACTTTGTGCATGCTCAGAGACTTATATGTACAATAAAGATGTCTGGCAAGAAGTGCTGGTGAGTCTGTTACTCTGTTCATGACACTTGGAAGGAAAAGAGGAGGGCATAAATATAGTGAATAAATACTTTCTGCCCAATTGTGAAGGTGGGGGGTCTCCCGGACCCACAAACGGGGGCAGGCTCCTGGCACCGGCTGCTACGAGCAGAGCGGCGTGTCCCTGGGCTCGGTCCACCTGCACTGGCCGGCAGCCTCCCTCCCGACTCTCGCAGGGCTGGGACGGACCTGCCAATCCCAGATCGTCCGCTGGAGAGGCTTGCAACTGGGCCCCGCTCCGCACTGAGCCAGGGCTGCCCGCCCTTCACCGACGGACCCTGCCGTGTCGCACGGGCCACAAAATTGTCCCGAGTGCAGCTGAAAACGTAGCAAAGCGCACGACTGGCACGTCTGCGTCTCGCCCCGTTGCCCCGCTGCTCCTCCCTGAGCCCACGAAGGCAAACACGGCTTCAGCTGGGGGCGGGCGCCAGGCGGGCCGATTTCTCAAACCTGCGAGGCACTGCTCAAACGGGGGTCCATCCCCACTCGCTCCAGAATGTGTGGGGCAGAAAGAGTTAGAGGGAGATCCCCCGAGGGGAGCGCCGCCGAATGAGAGCCGCGCACCCTGCCCTTACCATTGGTCAGCGCTCTCAGCTGCTCCTGCAGTGTGATGGACGCATTGTAGGTCCTGAAGACCTTGGCGCTCAGCCCATCCATCAGGTCCTGGAGATGCTTATTCAGGGATGTCGTCTAGAAAACAAGGTGGGGAAGGGGTTTTGGAATAGAAATGGCGAGACCCCCAGCCAGCCTCCAGCTCAGAGCCAGCCCTAGATTTCAGGAGATCACAGATGCGAACCTATGCTGGCAGGCACCCAACCCGCCCCTCTCCTTGAGTGGCTGCTTTTCCCAGCACTGATGCTCAGAGAGCAGCCTCTGACTTCCAGGCACTGATCCAGTAAAAAGCGAGCGAAGAGCTTTGGGAAAGGTGGCACCAAATTCTGATTCAAGGCACCCGAATCCCACCTTTTGTCCATCTTGGAGGCACGTGTTGGTCTCCCCATGGACGCACGGACCAAATTCAGCCCTGGTTCAGCTCTGCAAGGGGGCACCCACCCACGCTGGTGGAACGGGGCACCCCCTGCTCCCCAATGTCCCCCGTAAGGTTGGTGGCCAGGGCAACATCTGGCCTTGAGCCAAACCAAACAGCCACAGAATGGCTTGCTGGCCACGTTGCCGGGAGGAGCTGTGCGTGAAAGATGCCCAAGGTTCCAAGGTAGTCAGGAAAGTCAGCGCGGTACCTCCCAAGCCCTCCCCGGCCCAGATGGGCCCCACACTTACAGACAGCCTGTCGAACAGGTCATCCCCAGGCTCTTTGTTCTCCATGAACAGCTGCAAGTTCTTGAACACCTGCAACCAACAGCAAGAAGCTATTCTGACCACGGTGGAAGCTCTTGCTTGCGCATTTAAAATTCTCAGAGGTGCTGCTCCATAAGGACATCCAACAGAAGCAGGCCAGCTCAGAACCAGACTGAAAGAGCCTGATGCAAACGCCATGAGGCCGATACAGAGATGAAAAGCACGACCCTCGTCTCGGCACGGAAGTGGATGAAGCAGGATGCGAGCGCCGAGCCCCTCCGAGGGACCCGACCCTTCCTGCCTGTGAGAGCAGGATGGCAATAGACCCAGTGACCCAGCAGGGTGCCACTGGAGAGCCGTCTGAGGGGTGGTTGAATCGCAGTCCTGCACTGAGCTGGGGTTGGGCCTGACGGTCCTCTGCCCCCCCAACTCTATTATTCTGGGATTCTGTGAGCACAGTTCAGCAGTACAAAATTTATTTGGCACACAGAAGGTCGCTGGCTGAGCATCCGATCGACCTGCTTCTGCCCACAAAGGGCTGCTGCTGGTCAGTGGCGGCAATGGGAAAGCAGCCCGAGCGTCCGGGAGCTCAGCACCCTCTCACCACCATTCGGCCGCTCACAGCATCATCGCTGCCATCTCTGCAGGCCTGGAAGGTGTGGCCATGCAGAGGCGCAAATTCAGACCCCATTCGAGGGCTCTCTCCTCCCGGCCCCAGCCCAGAACACCCCCCAGTCGGCGGGCAGAGAGTGCGCACAGGGGAAGCATGCGGAGATGCAGGAGGCGCAGCTCGCAGTCTCGGGAGAGGCCCACGGGGGGCGATGCATGCTCATGCCCTTGCACACAGAGCCGGGGAGGCGCACCCACCACAAGGGGGTCCCCAGTGCTGTGCTGCTCAGGCACTTCTCCGGGGAGGAGAGGCGCGTTGTCCCAGGGGCCGCCACCCACCTGTGACAGCAGCTGGCGATGCCCCGGGGACTCCGAGGGCTTCCTTGTCCAAGGGGGCTGGTGGCGGGTGGGGGGGGGGCACAGTCATCATCAAGGAGAGCCGCCAGCTGGGGAAGTGCCAGCGGCACAACGCAGGTGGGGGGTGGGGAGATCCTCAAAGGGGCTGCTGTGCTTGCGTTTCTGGTTTTGGAACAGGGGAACTGCCTGGCTGCAGAGCTGCGGGGCAAGCAGGAGCACCTCTGCTGCCGTGGGGCCGGCTTCCCGCGGCACCGGAAGTATGCTTCCTCCGCCACAGCTCTTCCTGCTGCGCCGTCCTTGGGAGGGCCGCCCCCCAGGTGCTCCAGAGCCCTGCAGACCTCCCCGGCCTGGGCAGCCCCACGGACCGCCCGCTCACCTGCCTCTCCACGGGCACTCTGTTGCAGTAGCGGATGCAGTCCTTGCCCAGGAAGTCGAACTCCACCACGTGCTCCTTCCCGTCCAGCCACGGGTGCAGGGCCACGTGCTCGACCCGCAGGGAGCAGCAGCCCACCGTGTCCGCCGTCTCGCCCTCCTCCTTCTCGTTCCCGGCTCGCAGGGCCAGCTGGAGGCAGCACGGAGCAGCGAGAGCTCAGCCACCCGCCCCACACGCCGGGGGGAGCAGCACAGCAGGCCCCAACATGGGGGTACAGGAATGGGGAAAGCTGCGTCCCCCGGTTTCCGGACACACATATTGGTGTTGCACAAGTGCCACTTCCACGTGACGCAAGGGAGCACAGGGCACAAGCGGAATATGGGGCCAGCCCCACATTTATTTATATACTGAGCACCTTTCTATACCGCCTCGTAGCCACATGCCTCTCCAGGCAGTCTACGTACATAATAAAAACCAGCAACATAAAACTTCATAAACACAGTTAAAACCACAGTATCAATAATAAAAATAACGTTACATCGCGGCAGAAACGCCAAGTAACGGTTTAACAATAGATCGGCGATATCTTAAATATCACAATTGAGAATACTAAAATTTGCTCTGAAATAGAATTAAAATCAAATTCCAGCTAAAATCTTCAACCATTAAAATGCTCCTTGAATAAAAGCATCTTGGTCTGGTGCCAGAATATGTAGGACAGCGTTGGATGACTATCTCCAGAAAGTTGATTCCACGGATGGGGTGCCACAACCGAGAAGGCCCTGCCCGTGAGAAGGCCATCAGCTCTGTTCCCAAGCTAGACTTGCTCCCATTTCTGCTCCTTGTTCATCTAGCGGGGCAGAGCCTTCTCAGTGGTGGCATCATCATATCAGAATTCTCTTCCCAGCTCTTTTTTTTTTTTTTTTGGCTTACATTCCAGAAGGCATTTTATACTTGATTTCTGCTAGACAATACGCCGGTTAATGCTTCTCTGCATTAACAATAACACGTCACCGTTATTTTAGAGTTAATGTATTTTATTTTCTATATGTGCTTTGATACTTATGCCTCTTAGATGATGAGTTAAATGTGGGACACAGATAAAAATCAGAGCAATCTTTGCATGGAGACGGCTACTCATCAAGTTGGGGCTTTCCTTGAAGACTGTTTGGAAGTTGCAGCTTGGCCAAACTGTGGCAGCCAAACTAATAAAAAAAACGGCCCAGCAGTCTGCTCACCAAGCCTGGCCCACGTGCCCTGGCTGCCTATATCCTTCATGAGCTCTGTCCAGGGTGCTGGCTTTGACCTATAATGCTCTAGCCGGCTTGAGACCACGATATCTGACAGAATGCCTCTCCTGACTTATGGCATAAGCTCCTCACGGAGGCCTGCCCGGTGCCAACTTTCCTGTCTTTTCAGTGCCCCGTAAAGGCCTTCAAGTGGTCCTGGCAACACAAGAGCAGGGCCTTTTTGGGGGTGGGCCCAAATTATGGCATAAGCTCCTCACAGAGGCCTGCCTGGTGCCAACTTTCCTGTCTTTTCAGTGCCCCATAGAGGCCTTCAAGTGGTCCACTGGGGCCTGTTAGACTTTTTCTCCAATCTCCAATTTTTCTTAATCTGTTTTAAATGTGATTTCAAATTCTGCATTGAATTTTTTGTGATGTTTTAACATGTTCTAATGTTGTGCATTCTGCGGTATTTTTAATATGCTCTTGCAAACCACCCAAACAGACAAATATTTTTGAGTGATTATAAAAGTAATACTTTTTCTTTTGCTGTGGCTGGCTACAAGGAGAAGGGCCTTTTCAGAAGTGGCACCCCAACTTTGGAACCAGCACCCCAGAGAGGTTCACCTGGCACCTTCTTTGTATTCTTTTCAGCACCAGGCAAACAGCTTCTTATTTTCCCAGTGTTTAAATAGCTAGAATGATTTTAATGGCTTTAAGATTTTATTAATGGTTGTTAACTGCTGTTGTGCCTTTATGTTGGTTTTGTATAATCAAGGGCTCTGTGAAATGTTTACAATGTCATGCTTTTGCTTGTGGCTTTTTAGATTTTATTGTTATTTTTAGTTATATTTTATTGTATATTTTAAATCTTTGTAACCTTCCTAGGAAGCAATGGGGAGGCAAAAATCCAGTAAATAAATAAATCCCAATGTACAGAGGCCCCACACCTTATCGATGAAGTAAAGAGCCACAGAGCGCTGCCGTTGCTTCATCTCCCTGGACCGCCAGTCTGCTCGGTACTGAGAACGGATCTTGCCGACCACCCCCTTCAAGCGGCGAGCAACCTCGTATTTCTGCCAATCTTTCTCCCCCTGGAAAGAGCAGAGGGTGGGCATGAAGACTCTCTCAATGACAGCTGCTTCCACAGACCCCCCTGCATCTCCCACCTGTCCAGGAAGAGAAATAGCTCTAAATTAAACACAGTGGCCCAGTTCACACATTCCCTACAACCCAGAGTATGCATCAAGCATGGGTTGTCATTGAATCGTGGGTTTACTTACATGTAAACACTGCACTATGTTTTCACAACGGGTTATTAAGCATCAACAACCCAAGAAGTGAACACACCGCTCCCTGTTGGATTATCATTCTCAGGACATTTGTGGTTAAAAAATCGCTAGTCAAGCCATAGCATAGGGTTCACATGAAACGAGAACCCACAATTCAATAACCCACGATTTAACAACCCTTACTCAGTCTATACTCTGGGTTGCCGCTATGTGCAATCCATTGGACGTAACAGATTCATGGAGAGCTGCTCAGATCCATCTGCAAGTCCTCCAGCAACACTTGCATACATTTCCAGATACAGCTGCTACTCACGAGCAAGTCGTACAAATGTAACCCCAGCAGCATCTCTGACGGGGAGAACGAGAGAGCACCGAGGGCCTGGCACCAAAGCTAGAGAGGAATGGCGGCACTTCGTGAGAGGCAGGAAGCGGAAAGGTCCTGGCCCCTCGAGGGTATGTTTTATGCCTGTTACCCAACGCAAGTTTTACACTGAAAATTACACGATGGAGAAGGCCCAACGAAGTGCGAGCATCTCTCTGAAGCTGGCCTGAGGCATGCTGGGAAGACCCCGAATGCACAGGCTGAGGGGCATGTGCTTCGCAATCCTAAGCCAAGGGGCAACTTGCTTTGATGCACGTGATCCCAGACGCGGCCCCTGCAGCAACTCCACGCAGAGCGGAAGAGCCCCTCGGAAACCCTGCGGAGCTGCTACCAAGCGGTGTCAGCAATGCAGGGTTGAATGGAGGAAGGGCCTCCCCTTCTGTGGATGGACGGATGGGGCAAACATTGCACAACCCACAAAACCCCTCCGGGAGTTCGCCCTCCCCCTCCCAGCTCACCAGAGGAGCTCCTCGTTAAGGGAGACAATGAACAAACCGAGTCGTATCTGAAGAGGGTTGCTAAGCAAGAGAGTCCTTTGATGGGTGGAATAGCAAAACGAGGCATCACGCTGATTCTGCCATCGAGGCCGCAGAGAGGTGCTACTTCATGGAGGAGCAACCGGCTTGCAAAAGCGCCAAGGTGTTCGCTGGGTGGCTCTGACCTGGTTCACACCTAACAACAGCCGTGGCTTTAACAACCCGTGGTTTGTTGTGCACGGACAGGTTTGCTGTTGGGTTGTTTGGCTGCATTCACACGTCCTGTGCACATTCTCCCACTCAGTCTGGGCAGTCCCTGGGATGTTTAGATCATGGGCTGTTGTTACGCGTGAACCGGCCCTGCGTTGTTTTGAAACAACACACTGGATGGATAAAAGAACGTGAGCGGGGAAAAGCAACGCGAGTCCTCCAGGATCTGGACAGGCTAAAGAGAGAGCATTTGGACAGGTAGCTCCCCGGGGAGTGTGCGACCTCACCTTCAGCTTGGAACTGGGGTTCAGCATGATGTATTTGATGGACCCCTGGATGTTCTCAGTCCACGACGCCAGCCAGGTGACCGTGTTGTCGCACCTGACTTCTTTCCACCTGTGCCCTGGTGGGGGCTGTGGAATCTTTGAATCCCTGGTGGGGGAGAGCAGCAAAATAAAGCTTCTGAAAGGCAGCGGTGGAGTCCAACAGACCCTACCTCTCCCCAGGAGTCACAGTTTGAGTTCCCAGCTGTTGCGTATCTGCCAACATGCACTTAACCTCCTATTTCTACTCCTTGCATTGGTTTTGGAATATCCAGCACCCTAAGTTGATGCACACTGGTCTAGCTAAAACCACGAGCACCCCTGCTGCGAAATGGTCTCCCTTGGGCTCTGAGATTTGCTTCTGCTGCGTTCATCCCACGGAGCCTGGGCATGCTGACTGCCTTTCTTGCCAACTTTCCCTTATGGTACTTGTTGACTATCAGTCTTGTACTGATATCTAGTGTCAGAGTTTACCAGCCACTCTGGGCTGCGTTCCCAAGCAACCCGACTCCAAGAAGACCCAGTCCCAGAACTCCAAGGCGCCTCCAGAGGCCTTGAACTCTCTCTGCGAAGTTCTTCCTTCTCTCCTCATGTCTATCACCTCTTCCTGGGGAAGGCGTGCAGCGCCATTTTGGTTCCAGCGCAAGCAAGCTCGTGCCAACGTCCAGCTGGTTAAGTGCTTGCTTGGGCCCCAGGACCCTTCCTGCAGCTCACCTGCTCTCCACCGAGTCCCACCTTGCCGTTCTCTATACTCACACTAAAAGAAGGGCAGAGGGAGAGAAGGCCGCGTCCCTCATTCCGACGCCCCCCCCCCACTGCATCCGTCTCTGCTCCCCAAGAGAGGAAACCACCCTTTCGCCCAACACGCCAATGCTTTTGGCCACAGTACCCACTTGCTACAATTTATGATGACATCTTCAGGCATCACCCTCTTCTTGAGCATCCCCATCTTAGGGTGGTCCCCACGGCCTCGGAAGAGACCCGGGGGCTCTATCTTGAAGTTGCCGATCTTCTCCCGGTGCCCATCAATTATGCAGAAACCATATTCCTCTTGGATTTTTTCTGACTCCTCTTTTAATTTCTGATTTAACATAAGATAAGAATAATTTTACACATGGCATGGGTGCTTCTTTTTGAAAAAGAAGGCTGGAAGGTTATCTGCCGTGCCGACAGACAGATCCTTCTGCAAGTTTTAAATCGGGCATTGGAAGGCTGCAGTGAGAGGCTGAAAGGGGTGCTGCGATGGAACGAGGGAGGCCCAGCCCTATCTGGGAAGGGGCTCAGTGACCCCCTTCAGGAGCTATCGGAAGCAACCCCTGTTGAGCTCACCAGCCACAGTCTGGCCTCCAAGATAAGGAAAAGCTAGAAGCCAAGAATGACCAGCCAGGAATTCAGCAACGCTTCAGTGGTCCAAGGAACCGTAGATTCTCCTCACCCAGCAGTGGTCCCCACACCTGTTTCTCCTCCTTGGGCAGAGCCTTCTGGGCCTCGTGTTTCTCCACAAAATACTTGTGCATCTCTTGGAAGTCACACTTCCTCAGGTCTTTGATTCGCTTCCTCTCCTCTGGCGTCATCTCCTGCAGGAAAGCAAGGAGGCCACTGGTCAAGCAGAATGGCTTTTGCTCCAGGAAAGATGGCACTCTGAAAGCTTGCCAGCCAGCACCGGGCACCCACCAACACGCAGCGTTCAAAGCCTCTGCTTTCATCTAAATGAGGAAGCAGCTCCGTGAGGTGACTCCTAAGCAAATTTGCATGAGTGCTCAGCTTAGAACTGTCTACACGGACCTGCAGTGGCTCTTCAACGGAGCCTTCCCGGGAGACAGTGGACCTCCAAGCTGGAAGCCCTGGAGAGGAGATGCGAAGCCCGGCCACCCCGTCACTCTCAGTCTGGGAGCGGCTGCTGCCGAGAACGGAGCACTCTGGCCTGATCCAGCCAGCACTGCTGTGACATTTTCACCAGCTACCAATCTCAGGGGCACCTCAAGACAGTCTCAGGATTTTTAAGAGTGAAGCTCTTAAAGAGTGATGCCTGAATGTTCTGTGGCCCTAGAACAGACAGCAGCTCCGAGGCAGCGGACATGGCTTGGGACCTCGATACCTGATGCAATGCCTCTCCTGACCCAAGTCTGCGTCCAGGGCCTTCCTCCAACTGTCCCTCCAAGGAAGGCCCAGAAAGAGGCAGTAGGGCCTTTTCAGTGGTGGCTGCCCGCCCCCCGCCCCGATTTTGCAACAGTCTCCCTGCTGGCGCCAACAGGGTCATCGTTTAGCCATCGGGTTAAAACTGCCTTCCATTCCCAGGCATCTACTGAATTTGCATATGATGGGTTACGGTGGGTTCAGTCGGCTGTGAAAATGTATCAGATGCTGAACTGTTTTATATTGTTGTATATTGGAATGTTTTGCTGTTTTAATTTGCATCCTGGAATTTTATACTGTGCTTTATTGATGAATTGTTATAAACTGCTCAGAAAGCTCCCACTCTCGGGCCAGAGAGAGATAAATAAATAAATGTACAATTACACACACACAGAGAGAGAGAGAGAGAGAGCGAGCGAGCGAGCGCGCACGCGAACAGAAAGACCTTTGTCCAGTCATTGAAGAAGTTGCTCTGGAAAATCTTCTTGGCTGTGTACTCGTGATCGAGCATCTTGGCAAAGAAAGTGGCCACCTCTTCAGCAGGAGGGCTCAGCTTCAGAGGCTTGCCTGGAAGAAAGAGCAGCGGCTCCCCGTCACCAGATGCCTCCCAACCGCTCGCTTCTGCCTTCCGCCGAACAAGGGCGGGCCAAACCCTGGTCATCCGGGAGCAAGGACCCCCCCCCCGCCCCCCTCCTTGCACAGGCATGGGAACTCGGGAATCTGCGAACCCCGGAGCAGCTCGCTCACCACCATAGTAGAAGTGGACACCATCCGGCAGAGGTTCGTAGGGCGGGGCGAAGTAGGGGCCCCTGTGCTCCAGCTGCTGCCACTTCACGCCGTCCTGGCGCTTCTCCTCTTCCCACCTGGAGGGACGAGGTTTGGAAAGGATGCAGCGCTTGCCATAGGGCTAGGAGGCTCAGCTCCCCACGGACAGATCCCTCTTCGAGTTACGCATGCAACACCCCGCTCACGAAACCTTCCAGTGGCTGGCAGTCCCTACAGAATGCGGCGACTTTCCGAAAGGAGACCGGCACCTCGAGCCTGGCACCTCGAGCCAATTACTGTGGCAGGAAGCTCTGCAGGCGAGTCTGGCCATGCCGGGCTTTCCCCAGCTGAGAAGGGATTCCAGGACAGGAGTGGGTGGGACGGAGCAGTGGGGCCCAGGAGGCGGAGAAATGCAAAGCTCAAAAGCAGGCAAAGCAAAGAGCAAAGCCCACTCTTGGTTCTGCAATGGCAATTTAGCAGCTGCGGGGGGAAAGACTGCTAATTTATATTTATTATCTATATTCTACAGGAAGCTCTTCTGACCCATTATTCCCGTCATCATGACAATTGTCAGAAGTACATCGTCCCCATTTATATCCCACCTCTCAATCATCACTGAATCTAAAGGACGCCAAATTAGTCCCCTGCCCAGGGACTGATCCATTTTGCATGATGTGGGCTCGGAACACACCCTGGAAGATGCTAACCTGGGATCTTTGATGCACAACTATATTTAGTTTTATTTTAATTTAATGCTTCTAAAAGCCCATAGCTGACTACCTTTATTATATGATAAGTCTAGTCTGCTTCTTAAAATACTAAAATATTAAATATTTGAATAAAGGATGTATAAAGGACTTTAGAGCCCTGCTTCAGTAACATATGAGACACCAAAACTTCAGAGGCAGACTTGTTTCTGAGAAGTGGGTCTGTTCAGCCAACAGCTGGGAGTTTTTCTAATTTTTGATAATTTTTTGATCGTTTTTCTAATGGCGCCTACTGAAAATTATGTTCCACTGGGGCCCATGGGGTTTAGTCCGAGGTAAGTGTGCCCAGGACTTCAACCCCAGTCGATGAATTCATCCAAGCAACCCTTCCATATCGGTACTAACAGCCTTATGACAGGTCGGAGAGGAGGAAGGGGCTTTCAAAGGCTTCCGAAAGTTCTGAGAACGTGGACCTTTTAGTAGGTCTCTTGCTGTGAAAGAGAGATGCACGGCCAGCCAGGCCGCCCATCCCCTGAGAGTCCCGGCTTGACTTGCCCCTGCTGGAAATGTTTAAGCAGAGTCTGGCTAGGAAAAGTTAGAAACATAGAAAACAGAGCGAGCCAGAAGGGGCCTCCCGGGCCATCTAGTCTGACCCCCGGCACCAGCCGGCTCCACTCACGACATGCCTATCCTTGAACACCCGCACCGATGGGGCCTCACACTGACTCAAGTTCACACTGGATTCCTTCAGTGAGGTCCAGGTTTGGTGCAAGAGCATCCTTTCCTGCTTTATGACAATGTGTCTGAAACAAGCTTCTAGTCCTCACTGATTATACAGATGAAGCTTTAACATGACGGAGATTCTGTGCTATATGCTGAAAAAGACTCACGACTCAACACTGTACACGGCCCCAGTCCAAATACTGAACTTACCACTTCCACTTGTCCTGCTCGGTCTTTTCTTTTTCGTTCCTGTGCCCCTCCTCCTTCTTCTTCTTCGCCGTCTCCTCTCTCTCCTCTTCCTCGGCCTTCCTCTTCTGGGAGCCCCTCTCAGGCCCCGTGCTCAGCGTGGCTCTCTTGCTCCTGCTTCTCTTGGCCTTCCCTCCAGCGCCGCCGTCCTCGGCCTCCTCCCCTTCGCTTCTCTTCTTCCTCAGAGACCTTCGCTCCTCCAGCCGGATCCCAAACGGCTTCCCCAGCCCACGGCCCGCTTCGGCCCCCTCTTCTTGTGTTTCCTCACCACTGCTCTCTCCTGACCCCCAGCTCTCCCCATCCGAGTCTTGCCTGGCCTTCAGTTCCCTCTTCCGGCATCCCCTTCCTTCCGGATCCTCTTCTCCCGGGGCCTCCTTGACCCCCCTCAGACATTTCATCCGCCGCTTCTGCTCTCTAGCTCCCTTTAAGTCTCTGTGCTCCACAGCCAGCACATTGCAAGGGCTTCCCCAGCAATCCTCCTGGGGGTCCCCTCTCTCCACTTCCGCACCTGAAACCCTCTCCTTTTTCACTCTCTCCGGAATCTCCTCCATGGCTTCCCTGTTTCTTTTGGGAAAGAGCGGCATCTCCTTGGCCTGCTGTCTGGCACACTGTCAAAAGAGTAGGCAAAGATGCTTGCGCTCAGCCAAGTGATGCCGTTCTCTTGCAATTGCACCATGCAAGTGTTCAGTGAGAGAAGAAAAAGTCACTGCTTCAAAAACAAAAGCACAAGTTCCTAGTCGTCAAGGCATGAAAACATGGGGACGGGTTTTTAGAATTGTGTACTGTTTGGGAAAAGTGGAAACCAAGACATTTTTCACCTGCTCTGATAACGCGAGCTGATGGGCAAGCAAAAAATGCCTCTCTCACACCATGTGCGGCAATGGCCTGGGCTAAGACGTCTTTAGGAGCCATGGTAGCCGCCTCCAGGGCCATGAGCAGCCTATCTCTGAGGGCCCGTTGTGGAGAGGCAAGCAAGCACGGGCTACCAGCTTTAAGCCTCACTTCAGATTCTGCTTGACCACAGAGGGAAACAGGCCACTGCACTAAAAGATTCCCCCTTATTCCCCCCACAAAAGCTAGGGAAGAATCCAGAAAGGATTCCTTGTGGGCAGAGTTCGGCCTTTGGAGCCCTGCATAGCTCTGCAGAAACAAAATTAAATTGTGCAAAACAACCGTTCTCACACTCCATCAGCTGAACTCACAGAATTTCTCCTGCTTTTCCCAAAACAAGATCTGGGCTACCTTGACACAAAATGCATTTTGTGTTCACAAAAGGCCCACGCAGCATCTTCTTGAACGGTCCGTACAGGAGAAGGGCTGCTGTAGAAAACCCACTGTACTTACGGCCTTATGTGCATTCCTAGCCGCACGCTGCCCTTCTGCTCTGATTTTCTTTGCCGCAGGCTCTGCCCTAAAATGCAAACACATCACATGGGCCCTTGGCACAAAATGCCAGCTGCAGTTCCTCGCCAGGTTCCCAACTCAGGGCTAGGCAGCTGAACTAACCCTAAAACTCTCATTAACTTAGAGGTCTCATTCATTCATTCGTTCGTTCATTCATTCATTCATTCCTAATATTTGTATGCTGCTTCCCATTTCAAACATCCTGCCACAGTTTACAATGAATCAGGAAACCCGTTATTCCAAGCGTACCTCGAATGGGGCACCCACGCTGTGAAGTCCATGCTGCTTTCGAGGCCTCTGCAAGAGAGAAAAAGCCAAGGTGCCCTGGTCAAGCCATGGTGGTGGTTGGATCCGGGGGGCACCAGGAGACCACCGGAAACAGGACGATTTGGAGACAATAAGTTGCACCGTGTTCAGCCACGGAGCATCCCGACAGCAGGTTTCCGGGGCTGAAAAGAAGGGAGCCCCAGCAGATCTCCCCACGGCCACACTCACCACAAAGCCCGCCCCTGTGGCTGGACTGACGCCATTTTCACGAGGAGCTCACACAGCGGCCAAGCTAGTGGTCTCCGTGAGGGTGGAGAAAGGAAGCACACAATGGCGGTTGCTAGGCAACCCCATCACAAACGCCACCTCCTTTCTTGGTCCCGCCAGCCACGTCCGTTGCATCTTCCGCGGGATCCACTCAGGAGCTTTGGCCTCTTGCCCAGAAGCACCACCACCTTGTAAAGAGCCGCATCCGGAAGGCCACCACCCGGTCAGACCAGAGTTTTCAGTCCTGCTATGCCCTGCCCAATGTAGCCAGGCAGGACCACCAGCCCCAGCTCCATTCCAGCTGGCTGGCCACAACTGGGGGCCTTCAAGAGCTTCTGGGGGCAGCTTCCCATACCCAGAACTTGCTCATCATCGGCTCGCCCATGCTCAGGTCTTCTGCTCTGCTCCATGTTCCCCTTCCCCCCGAAGTTACTGGAAGGATCAGGGCCTTCACGGTTCTGGAATCCTGCTTGTGACGCTTCATCTCGGGCTGCCCCAACACAGGAAGTACTTACGAGAGCTCTGCGCATCTATGCTTAACTTTGTAGCACATGCCCGGCATACAGTCCACATTCAAGAACAGGGGAAGAACAGGTCAGGAGAACACCAAGATCTCCCTCCCACGCAGCTTGTAACCTTGACTGCTTAAGCAGGGTGCCTTGCGCCCGCCGCTTGAGGTCCCACGGACAATTTACTAGTACAACACACACACACGGATTGCTCTGCACTCTCTCCTGAAAAGTGGGTCAATTCATAAAGGTCCAGCTCTGGAAACCAGAAAAGAGGCTTTTGGAACTGATTAACCTATTTAATTAAAAACAAAAGGATTAATCTGGAAGAAAGCCTGGCTTGCGTCTGCTCTCGCAGCTGCCAGTGTGGATTAGATGCACGGCCCCCTACGTTACACAGCCTGATCCCAGTGTCCATTCAGTGTCGAGCGTTCTCTTTTGGATTCACCCTCGGGGGCCTGCAGATGCAACCTTAGAAGAGGTATTTGGGAAGGAGCCCCAGGAGCACAGCTAGACCTACGCGCAAGTAAACCTGCAGAGAATCTGCCGCTTCAGGGCCCAGCTTCCACAAGTCTGTCTTAACCTTCCTTTCTTTATGCTCTTGTTCAAGAGTACACTTTATTCAGAGGGTTTTACAG